AGCAGGGCTGCTTTTTAGGTTAATTCTCAAGTCCTACCAGCACTCGGGAATCTCCAAGCTATCTGTGCCATCAGGATCACTCAGGATCGCTGCCAGACTGCAACTCTGTATGTCTCCTTTTTTGGTATTTTCATGCAAATTCTTCTGCTAGTTGGGGTTTAGTCCACTTCTATATCCTTCCCTTTAAGGCTCGGGGGTCCAGCATTATCTTCTGTGTCTGTGTTAATTGGTTTCCCTTTTCTTTGTTGAAGAGGGTCTGTGCACTCTTTCTGCCTAGTCCGCCATCTTGCCAGACTTCAGTACCAGGCTATTTTGATGACTGTAGCTATATGTTGTTGTTAGGTGCCATTGAATCACCTCTGACTCATATCAACCCTATGTACAACAGAAGGAAGCACTGCCTAAACCTGTGCCAGCCTCACAATCCTTACTATGTAATATGTTTTAAAATCAGGAAGTATGAGTCCTCCTACTTTTTTCTTCCCTTTCAATATTACTTTAGCTTTTTGAGGTATCTTATAATTCCATACACAGTTGAGAACTGGTTTTTCCATTTCTGTAAAGAAGGCTGTTGGAGTTTTGATCAGGACTGCACTGAATCTATAGATCATTTAAGATGGTATTAACATCTTCACAATATTAAATCTTGCAGTCCATGAGCATGAAACATCTTTCCATTTTATTTAATTCTTCTTTAATCTCTTTCAGCAATGTTTTATAATTTTCATTGTATAAGTGCTTCATATCCCTGGTTGTATTTATTCCTAGGTATTTTATTCTCTTAGATGCTATTATAAATGGAATTGTTTCCCCAATTTCCCTTTAACATTTCTCATTGCTGACAAAAAAACCAACTTATTTTTATTTCTTGACCTTGCACCCTGAAACTTTGCTAAATTCCTCTATTAGCTCTAGAATGGAGTAAAATGTATATTGTGCTGTTGTTGGGTGGACTCTAGGATTTTCTGTATATAGGATCATATCTTCTGCAAATAAAGATGATTTTACTCCTTCTTTTCCAATCTAGATCCTTTTATTTCTTCCTCTTCTCTTATTACTCTTATTGCTCTAGTTTTTGGAGTTGTCAAGTTAGGCTGTTGATTTAAGATCTTTCTTATTTTTCACATAGGCATTTAATGGTGTAAGTTTCCTTCTGGGTACTGCTTTTGCTACATACCATAAGTTTGGATATGTTGTGCTTTCATTTTTGTTCAACTCTAGGCAATTTGTGATTTCTCTTTTGATTTTTTTCTTGACCCATTGGTAGTTTAATTGCTCTTATTTCTCTTTGCTTATTGCTGGAACTTCTAATACAATATTAAATACAAGTGGAGAGAGAAGGCACCCTTGTCCTGTTCCCAATTTCAAGGAGAAAGCTCTCAGTCTTTCTCCATTAACTATAATACTGGCTGTTGGCTTTCCATATATGCCCTGAATTTTATTGAGGAATTTCCTTTCCATTCCAATCTTCTTGAGGGTTTTAAATCAAGAAAGGGTGTTATGTTTCATCAGATTCTTTTCTGCCTTTATATAAATGACCATATGGTTCTTTTCAGTTGTTTGGTTGATGTGGTATATTACATTGATTGATTTTCTAATGTTGTACTGGAATAAATCCCACTTGAGCATGGTTGTATGTATACAGTTGTATGACTCTTTTAATATGCAGTTGGATTCCATTTTCTAGTATTTTGTTGATGAGTTTTGTATCAATGTTCATAAGAGATATTGGCCTAGTTTTCTTATCTTGTGGTGTCTTTGTCTGGTTTGGTATTGGGTTATGTTTGCTTCATAGATTGAATTAAGGAGTATTTCTTCCTTCTCTATCTTTTGGAAGAGTTTAAACAGGATTGGTGTCTATTCTTCTCTAAATGTTTAGTAGAATTCTCCAGTGAATCCATCTGATCCAGGACTTTGTTGTCGGAAGGTTTTTGATCAGTGATTTGACCTCTTCACTTGTTATGAGTCTGTTGAGACTTTCTCTTTCCTTTTGGGTCAGTTTGGGTAGGTTGTGTGATTCTAAGAATTTTTTCACTCCTATAGGTTATCCAGGAGCTCTGGTAGCATAGTGGCTAAAGCACTTGACTGCTAACCAGAAGGCTGGTGGTTCAAACCCACCAGCCACTCCTCGGAAGGAAGGTTGGGCAATCCTACTTCCGTAGTGATACTGCCTCGGAAACCCAAGGAGGGGTCACTATGAGTTGGGGCCGACTCAACGGCACATAACAACAACAACAACATAGGTTATCCAGTTTGTTACCATACAGTTGTTAATAATGTTCTGTCATAATTTTCTTTTTTTTCTGTCAAATTAGTTGCACTATTTCCTCTTTCATATCTTATTTTTGTTATTTGCATCTTTTCTATCAGGTTAGCTAAAGGTTTGTCAATTTTATTGATCTTTTCAAAGAAACAACTTCTGTTTTTATTGATTCTCTGGGTTGTTTTTCTATTTTTGATTTTATTTATTTCTGTTCCCATCCTTGTTAGTTCTCTTCTTCTGGTAGGTTTAGGTTTAGTTTGTTCTTCTATATCTGGTTTTTGGAGTTGTCAAGTTAGGCTGTTGATTTAAGATCTTTCTTCTTTTTTCACATAGGGATTTAATGCTATAAGTTTCCCTCTGGGTGCTGCCTTTGCTACATACCATAAATTTTGGTATGCTGTGCTCTCATTTTCATTCAACTCTAAGAAATTTGTGATTTCTCTTTTGATTTTTCTTGGCCCATTGGTATTTAATATTGTGTTGTTTAATTTCCAAATTTTTGTGTATTGCCCCTCCCCTTTTTTAAAAAATTGATTTTCAGCTTCACTCTGTTGTGGTCAAAGAAATAACTTTGTACAACTTCAATTGTTTCAAATTTATCGAGACTTACTTTGTGACCTAACATGTGGTCTATCCTGGAAAATTATCCATGCACATTGGAGTAGAATGTATATTGTGCTGCTGTTGGGTGTTGTTGTTGTTGTTATGTGTCGTTGAGTTGGACCCAACTCATAGTGAGCCCTCCTTGGGTTTTTGAAGTGGTATCACTATGAAAGTAGATTGCCCAACCTTCCTTCTGAGGAGTGGCTGGTGGGTTTGAACTGCCAGCCTTCTGGTTAGCAGTCAAGTGCCTTAAGCACTTCACTACCCAAGCTCCTGATGTTAGGTGGAGTGTTCTAAATCTGTCTGCTATGTCTAGTTGGTTTATAGTGTCATCCAGGCCCTCTGTTTCTTTGGTCATCTTATTTTTAGATGTTCTCTCAAATTTAAGTAGATTTTAAGAGAAAAAGATATAAATAACTTTTCTATTTGCCCACAAAGTAATGGGATGATTCCATGATAATACAAATCCATCTTGTTGGTAATGGAAAAATTGGGTTATCCTCTAAATATCTTGTACTCTTTTCCTGTGATTTATGTTCAGGTTTCTGATGACTTCAAAGGCAAACTTTCGTATTTGTAGTGAATAACCAGGAACTCAATACTATCGTTCTTCCTCTAAAATTTGAGGTATATTCCTTTTATTTCTTCAAGTATGCATATCTGACCTTGAATAAGTCTGAATGTGTTGAAGAGCTCCATTTCCTTTCTATTTTCTCTGAGGGTTTCACATTCCCTAAAGCCTGATTGAGAAATTAAAAATCACTTAATAAAATTAGGGACATGTTAGTGTCTCTTTTTAGCATCCATTAGTAAACTTTTTCTCCTTTCTCTCACACCCTGCCTCTGGTATTACCCAGTAGTATCCATTTCCCCACCATCAATGCCCAACACTAATCTAAGCACAAGACTTTGCAGATCTTGAAGAATCTACTGTATTAGGCACAACATACCATTAGTGAAATTTCCTGACAGTTCTAAAAAGATTTAAAAAAATAAAAAAGTAAAAAAAAAAAAAAAAAAGCACATTTCAGAAAAAGAAGCTGTGGATCTTAGGGCAGAATTTAGAAATCCACAGACACATAACCTCCCTGGAATCTACAAGTACATTAATTAAGGACAGATTCTTAGTAACCTTTAGAAAAGTGGTGAGCCATTCTTACCATTCTGACATTTTGCAATGCAGAGGAGGTGATACATTCCCAAGGATGCTTGTTCTGTGATTGCAAGATCAGAATGAGAACATAAAAGTGACATTTCTGCTGCCAGTTCACCCAAACATGGAGCATCCACACTTCTCTAACAGAGGAACAAAGGAGAAAAATGCATTTGCTATGTGAGGTCAGCATTAATGTCTGCATTTGTTCTTCATATATGTAAGACTATGATTGGAGGGTGAGCTGCAGAATTTGGAAAACTTGTATTCAAATCTTGACTCTGTTGTTAAGCCTCAGTTTCTTCATTTGTGAAATGAAGGTAACAAATGTTATAATGGTTACTGTGGGGATGAGTGGAGTAACATTTATGATATGATAATTCCTTTCAAAGACCTTGAAAATAATAGTGACTAAATTAATGTTAACTTCTGTTCAATAAAGAAGGCAACCATTTGCATGTATAAAATTGCTAGGGTGCAAGGGAGGTAGTGGGTGAATTCCAAGAACTTGTATGTTCCCTTTTCCACATATGAAACAGTTTAGATGACTCTGTGTTACTGGCAAATGCCACTTTTCCTTCTGGAATGCTTTGACCCTGCCAAGAGTCATTCATTTCTTCACACTCAGAGCATTTATTTCTGATGTCAAAGTTACTACTACCACATTTACGTATTTCTTTCCCACAATATGTAGACTGTTCAAATATTTAGATTTTCATCTTTACTAACTTGTTTGGCTAGATCAAATATGAATAAAGAAGGAAATACAGACATTAGAGAAGAGAGGAGAGGTGGAAGAGACATTTTGTTTTTATGAAAGATTTTCCCAATTTTTTACCAGGTTCGTGGGAGTATTTTTAACCAAAAAAGGCTCTGCCCACATAAGTTCAGTGTATTGATGACATGGCCTGTTGGGTCTTCTTGTCCCTACGATAAGTGATTACTTCTCCTAGACCAATGCTCTGATGATTGGAACAAATGTTGATGGTAACAGTTAGGGTCCAACTGAAATCTCTAGTGGAATCCCAAAGCCTACTTCTTTCTACCTCCTCCCATGCTCGCTACTTTTACCCCCCATGTTTTTGGACCAACCCACCTCTCTATCTCTGTCTCTGTCTTTCTCTCATACACATACTCACTCTTGAAGAAGAACTATGTGAAGTGACCTACTTCGTGACCAAGGGCATAATTGAATTGGGATTTTCAGGGTGATAGTGTCAGTAGGAAAGGAAAGATAATGGATCTCTTCTGGGGGTATTCTGTATTCTTTCTACTCTTATCCTGTGTGGAAGTTTACTGCAGTTAAGACTACCCTGGAGCTTCCCCTCTAAGTAAGGTCTATGATTTAGGAGAATCTAGGAGCAGATATTATGGCTCTGTCTACTGTAGGCTCTAACGAGAAATGCTCTCTTTCTCTCATGTTGTTTCCATTTTGTTTGTTTCCATCTGATGGCAAGGCCTTAAGGACCACCATAGTGTGTATGGGCTGAAAGAAAAAGGAGGAATAGTATTTTTCCCTATTGGGCATGATGGAGAGTGAATGCTTGTCACAGCTTAGCTCACTGAAGATGGAGATGATTTATAGGGAATTGTCGCTAAAGTCTTACAGTTTTACAATTTTTGCCTGATTAGCCCTTCTCATGAACTTGTGTATGTATAATTCTTAGCAGGTGTTCTTATAAATGGAGCTACTAGCAGTTTCTGTCTATTCTGTTTGCCAGATAGGGTCTGTCTAGGCATGTGTCCCCAGAAGAGTAGATGAGGCCATGTCTAGATTACATTTCTACTTATTTTCATCCACTAAAAGCAGTGTTTAAGAAGGGTGAGGCATGGCCTATACTAGGCCAAGAGATGAGAAGGCTATGTGGACCCAGGAGCACATTGATTATACCCTGGCACAGTCCCTTCAGAAGCATGCCAACCACAGTTACACTTCCTCAAGCATCAGACTATGAGAACTTTTAATGCAATATGTACCTGCTTTTATAAAAAACTTTTTCAAGTTATTCCTACAAGAAAGGAAATAGTTAAAAACTGTGGAATAGTACCTAGCATTTACTTCTAAGTCTAAGTACTCCTGCTTAGGTTTTTTTTTTTTTTTTTTATCCTTTTCTTACTGAATCCCATATTCTTTGTAGATCTGGCCTCTCCAGTTCCTTATCTTAACAGTAAAGATAGTTTTATGTGCTAAATTCTAGTGACAAATACTTCTAAGTTTTTAGCTGCTTCTTCAAAAGTCACCTCTGTATTTCTAAGTCATGTAGTTCCACTTCTGTTTTTGACATCAGTTTAAGATATCGCTTGTCTATTTCTGCTATGATAAGTTAGGGTTTAGCTCACTTACACTACTCTACTTTGCAATAGTCCTCTCAATAGTTTCATTACTATTTTTAGTTCTTCTACTTTTGTGTTTTAAAAATACAGTAATACTTTTATTTCCTGTTTCATAAAATGGGGATAGCTTGTTGAGTCTCCACTTTATAAATAGTTTGAGCTATTTTATTTACCTTCAAACTCCCTTTGTCACTTCTACTCCCCTATTTTTGTTCTCTGCCTTCCTTTTTTTGCATAAAAACATCTAGTAAAATATCTATAAAATTGACCATTTTAACCATTTTTAAATGTGCATTTAGTGGCACTAAGTATGATCACAATATTGTGCAACCATCACCACTGTCTAGTCCTAGAATTTTTTTTATCATCTCAAAAGGAAACCCTGTGCCCATTAAGCAGTCACTGCTCATCTTCTTCCCCCTCCCAGCCCTTTGCAACCACAATCCTACTTACTGTTTCTATAAATTTGCCTATTGCAGATATTTTATATAAATGGAATCATATAGTATGTAGTTTTATGTGTTTGTCTTCTTTCACTTAGTATAATATTGTCAAAGTTCATCAATGTTGTAGGATGTATCAGTACTTCACTCCCTTTAAGTCTGAGTAATATTCCATTGCTGTAAGTATCCCATACATCTATTCATCTTTTGATAAACATTTGATTGTTTTCACTTTAGGGCCATTGTGAAAAGTGCTGCTATGAACATTCATATGCATGTTTTTGTTTGAGTACTTGGTTTTGATTATTTTGGGTATAAACCTAGGAGTGGAATTACTGGGTCATATGGAGCTCTGGTAGCATAGTGGCTAAGACACTTGCCTGCTAACCAGAAGGCTGGCGGTTCAAACCCACCAGCCACTCCTCGGAAGGAAGGTTGGGCAATCCTACTTCCGTAGTGATACTGCCTCGGAA